CGAAATCCTGTGTAAACAAAGTCATCAGTCGTTGTAACATTAATAAGATCTTTGCAAGCATATCCCTCAGGTCACCTCGGGAGACTAAGATCTCCAACACAAAAATCGAGTTCAATGGCATGATTGAGACAGGCTAATAGAGAGAAAATGAATAAAACTGCAAGATTATTCATCTTTAAACTGTCTCTAGAGATGACAAGTAGGGAAAATTTGTGATAAGGAGGCCGGGTAGCTAGCTTTAATTAGTATTATGGATTTACTTTCTTGTATGTCATTGCAACAATTTGCAACCTATATATAGAGAGAGCATGAACATGTAGTAATCATTAACGTAGTAATCATTAAACAAATATAATGAAACTAAGATTTCATATAATAATATACTATACTACCATTGTTTTTATATTTAACAAAAAAATATTATTTCACTAGGCGAAAAATACAAATGGGCACCGGTTCAAAACCCCCATTTCGCACCGGTTATGAACCGGTCCTTATTTGAGGGATGCCAAAATCCAATAGATTTCGCACCGGTTCTTGCTCTGAACCGGTGCGAAAAATGGCCCAAAAAAATCAAAATAAAAACTTTTAGCACCGATTCTTGCTGTGAACCGGTGCGAAAAATGGCCCAAAAAAAAAAAACTTTTAGCACCGGTTCTCTTTCAATTCCAGTGCCAAAAAATGCCCCAAAATTAAAAAAAAATATTTTTTTTGCATTTTTTTCACTTAAATTGATATAGAAACACTAATATATATATATATATATATATATATATATATATATATATATATATATATATATATATATATATATATATATATATATATAAAGTTACATGTTTTCATTAAAAAAGGATGTAATATTACAATAAGACTCATGCTGGTCCACTATGCGTAGTTCCACACATGTAAAGTTAAGAGCAGCTTCATGTTGCTTCAACATTGCTGCAATCAAAGCATAGCCATCACGATAGGAAAAAACGTAGTCTGCTCAGTAGCATGACTGGCTGTCTTGAACCACCAATAAATACCTAACAGCTGCACACCAAACAAAAGTCTTGACTTGAGTAATAAAAGAAACTGTATATAGCACATTGAAATCACAAATGCCCATTAAGCAGGGCCTAAAACATTGCTTCCTCACCTTTGCAGCAATAGGGAAGCTTTCAAAGGCTAGGTTGGCCAGGGCAAGTACACGATCTCCATGATCAATCAAAACCTTAGAATACCAATTAAGGAAAAATCTGCGATAAAACCTGATATACTCACCACCATCACGAAAAAAAACCTGAGCTTATTAGGGAGCGTCCAAGAGCTCTTCCTGCTTGAATAAAGTAATCCAAACATTTGTCACATCATTATCAGTCGGAGACAGAATAATATCAACCGTTGGCTCCGACATGTAGTGTAGCAGTTTAGCATAGGGTTGAGGAAGTTCAAGAGGCATCGACGCAATCATAAAAGGTTGTATCTGAGAAGTGAGACCTACTGCCATCCGACGCCTATAAAAAAGAGTAGGAGCAGAGCAGACTCCCCAATTTCGAAGGTTGAAGGCACTGCTACTATTTCCTTCCGTTTTTGTTAAATAGAAGGCTGTAAAGGAACCTGCAAAGAAGGTGAGCAGATTGGACCGTCCCTTATCATTATTCCTTGAGTGCATCTCGGAATAGAGTTAAGGTTTAGAGAGAAATTGTGGTGTCATTCCATACTTCCGAAGCGAAGATCTAGATTGACATCCATAGGAACAATAGGATTAATAGTTTGAAAACAAACACGAGGATTAGGATTTACCAAGCATTCAGAGAAGGAGAGAGCCCTAGCCTGCCCATTTCTGCGAGCCTGAACAGAAGGATAGAAGACCGCATAAGGATCGCTTTTCAAGCCCAGCCTTGTTTCTAGTGGGTTGTACACCTGAGAAACAAATTGATTAGAGAGCCTTATTCAGTGCTCATACCCTGTATAATAATTTTCAAAGTAGTCACTCCCTACACTATCATTAGAAAAATCATCTGAATTAGAATCGACATCCCTGCACTATTATTAGAAAAATCATCTGAATTAGAATCGCCTTGTTCTTGGTGGGCTGTAGACCTGAGAAACAGATTGATTAGAGTGCCTTGTTCAGTGCTCAGACCCCGTATAATAATTTTCAGAGTAGTCACTCCCTGCACTATCATTAGAAAAATCATCTGAATTAGAATCGCCATCCCCAACAAGGTTCCTGTCCTCCATGGGAACATCTTCTGGTTCCTCTGGCCTCACCAGATTGGCCTCCGGATCTCTATAACGCCTATAATTAGGAAATCCCTTGACAACATTCTTACAATAGGAATATTTATCAGTAACAAAATCATAGAAAAATAATAATTTCATATAAGCTCTGCTATAGAAGGTAGAGATGGTACGACAAGTAAAGCTAAATCTTGTAAGTTGCAAACAAAGATATATTTGAAAATGAAAACAACATACATGAAATCATAAAAACCATTAATTAAAAACCAAGAGGCAGTGAAACTTTCCAGATTTCTGATGACTATTTCTTTGTTATGGAACTAATAATACATGAGACATAACAGGCATTCAGCCAATCTCATAGCCGAAGGAACCAAACACACTCACTACATATCAGATCATCTCTTGAAGGAATCTCCTATTATCTGCTTACTTAAAATGCAAGGACCTCGATTATTAATTTTGTATCATAATTCATTATTTCATACAATTTGCAGAACATACAGTATGTTTGGGTCCAATTTAGTCCTGTTTGGGTCCAATTTAGTCCAATTGGGCCTAAGCACTAAATGATCCAATTAAAAGCCCAAGGTCAAGGTTCAACTCTCCAATTGTGCTAAAGTCAAAGGTCAGCCCACAAAGCAAGCCAATTGGGCTAAGGCCCAACCTCTCCATGTATGATGAGGTATAAAAGCCATCAATATTGATACATTCATAGATTATTCATTCAGACGATTATTCATTCATAGATTCATATGTTCATTCATATATTCTGATATATTCCATAAAAGCCTCAAGCAAAAAACTCTATTGCATAGTGTTCTCTTCTTACACATTGTACTGACTTTAGCATCGGAGGGGCCTTCCTCGGCAACACCCCCGAGGCTAGTTTACGTGTGTTTACTGTGCAGGAAACCTTCGGCCCAACATAACTTGGACCGAATCCAGCCTTCTCCATTTCAGCGGACCTTCGGCAAGGTCCCATTGTTTTCACCCGAAACAATTTGGCGCCGTCTGTGGGGAAGACTTTCAAAAATCTTTAAGCCAAATTCCTAACCAAGATCATCTTGCAATTATCTTAGCAGCAATGGCTAAGAACCGCAAGAGCAAAAGCCTCCGTCAAGGAGC